ATAAAATATATTGTCATCCGTGTAAAATAATAATTTTTTCGCTTTTTTGCGATAATTATTCAAAAAAAAAAAAAAAAAGGAAATTTTATACGTTAAAATTACGCGGAAAAATTGCTAAGGAGAATTATTGTCAGGTATGTGCGTCCGTGTGCGTGCGTGTGCGCGTGCGTATCAGATGTGGAAACGTGAACGTTCATAAATTAATGTAATTTTTTTTACGAGTCGAATGATGAAATAAATAAATTTCAGGTTTTGAAAAAGGTATTATTATTATTATTATTTGTCGTCGTGATAATAATTACGTGACAAAAGAAAAGAGAGAGAGAGAGAGAGAGAGAAAAAGAAAGAGAGTAAGAGAGAGAGAGAGGGAAAAGAAATACGGCAAAGAGTAAAAAGGAAAATAATTAATTTCTTTTTTTTTTTTAATGTTCTCGTCATTCCTGTAGTGATTCTCTCCCTCTCTCCCTCCCTCTCTCTCTCTCTCTCTCTCTCTCTCTCTTGTAATTATAAATTAAAATGCTTCGTTTGTTGTTGTATTCGTAAGTTATCTCATTTGAGGTTTCGTGATTGTTCATTTTATTATCCTTTTTTTTTCTCTCTCTCTCTCTCATCAGACGTCTCTACATACATACAAACACGCACGCACGCACAAACATTTGCGTTAAATGCTAAACGAACGAACAAACGAACAAACGCACGATAACCTTGATTTCCTTTTTCCTGTGTGAATTTTGATAAGGCGGTGATAAAACATTAATAATAATAATAATAATAATAATAAAAGAAAGAAAGTTTTTTTTTGTTTTGGGCCGAAATTTTTAGTTATTAACATAATGATGATGGCGTCAAAACAATGCTCATTGTTTGTTTTCATGTTGAAGTTTTTTGTTAGTTTTACGATTCTTGTCGTTCTTTGTTAGATTTTTCTTCGAATGTCTCTTCTTTTTTCGGAATGAGTTCCGTGGGGGAATTGAGCTATTTCCGTTGAATTTCGTTCCAGGTTTATTGAGAAAATATTAATTTCGGCATGCGAGGGAGGAGTGTTTGTGCGCGAAAACATGGCGACCTTCCGCAATGAAAAATTTATTACATGTGCGTAAATGTGTATCGATTCCGAAAAAGAAACGGTTTTTTTTTTGTTAAACGGAAACTGTTTTACACAAAAGAATCTAATCCCACGGTTCCGGTTAATTGTTTCGAGAACGGATGGTAGGAGGAGAAAGAGTAGAAACGGGGAGTGGGGGGCGGGGGAAAATCGATTCTCTTAGCAGAACGAAATTTTTTTTTTTTTTTTTTTTTTTTTGTAAATTCGTTCGAATTATTTTTAAAATATCATTTTACATGAAAGAAAACATAATAATAATAATAATAATAATAATGATAATAATGACGACGACGTCATCATAAATCGTTTGTTTGTCTATTTTAAAATCTCTTTTTTTTTTTTGTGTTTGTTGAGTTGGTAGAATTTAAAATTAAATTTCGAACATTTTGAAGAAAAAAAAAATTATTATTATTATTATTATTATTATTATTATTATTATTATTAGTATGTTTTTTTTCAATTAAAGTTGTTGTTAGATTTTCCGGGAAAATTTTTATTTGGAAAAGAAAAAAGAAGAGAAAATTGAGGTTTGCATTACTGATCCCTTTAACTTTTGCCAACTTTAAAAAAAAAAAAAAAAAAAAAAAAAAAAAAGTTGGGTTCTTTTGTAGGTGATTTTTAAATTTAAAAGGAAAATG